TTTTTTTTTTGGGAACCCCACCCTTTCACATTTGTGCTGGTACATTCTTCTCTAAGACATTCTTGCTTTTTGTATCTTGATAACTGTTCTGTCGATAAATTTAAAACCCATCAATTTTCATTCCCATTTACCTGATGGCAGAGATGTCTCTTGACTTCAGCAAATCTCAGTCCGTACTCCAAAGTACATTTTCACATCATTTTTATCCAATGCATGATAAGATGTTTGGTCATCGTTACCGTCTTTCCTTGACCGTATTTTTCAAAAATCAGAGAAATAACCATGTTTCTCTCATTTTAAAAAGGCTTCATTTCCCCTATAATGCTTTTGTCTTTGGGGCTTGCATGTTAGTGAGTCATACACAAGTTATGTACTTGATAGCTGGTAGGGTCTTGAAGCTGTGTGCTTTCATTTTACTTTTTTCAGGTTGATGTGTCACTTTAGAAACTTGTTATTTACTCACATTCTATTATGTCCCTTTTTCACCAGGTTATTCATGTTGGAGATAAAATCTTCAGATTCACGTGGTCTAGGGAACCGGGAGATTTGTGCGACATTTATGAAGAACGTCAAAGTGGTGAAGATGGAAATGGGTTTCTTGTTGAATCAGGTGGCACTTGGCGTAAGCTGAATGTAGAGCGAGAACTAGATGAATCGACTAAAAATCATGTTAAAAGGCGATCAGAAGAAGCTGAGCGCAAGCATAAATCACGAAAGTACGTTTTTCTTCCTGAGAATTTCATGCTCTATAATTTGTTGCTGCTGTTTTATCTGCCTTGTTTATAGCAATTAAATCATGGGACTTAAAAAGGAATTTCAATAGAAACATGTATTTATGTGAGATTAAACTTCGTTGACAGTATAACAACAATGGGATCTTTGTAGGATAATAATTAAGATGTACTTATTGGGGATTGTTATTTTTATAATATTCATGTTCTAATGATATTTGGAGATCTACATAGTGATTTTGCTTTATTTTGTTTTTGCCTGGGTTTTTATGTCTTTCAATCTTGACACTTCATTTATCTTAATATTTTGCCTAGTTTTTATCATTTCTGTGTCCGTGGAGCTGTTGGGTTTGTGATGAAATATGAGACAAGGGCAACTTTTTTTTTATTAATATTGTTGACATGTGCATTTTTTTGTTAGTGTGGATCTAGTTTTTCCCCCGAACCATGCTCAACTCTGACAGTTGACCTTCTAAACCTCGATTTCACCATTCATCTCTTTCAGATATTTATCCCGAAAGAAACAAAAATTATATATTTTTGTCTTTTGGAGTTTGACAAGACTGAAAGGTTCTGCCAGGATATTGTTACCCCTGTTTGATTGACCTGATGTTAAAAGATCCAAAAAGTAAGAAGCAGTCAAAATCTCTTGAAAATGCACGGTATCCACTTTTATGACTTTTTTATGCAATTCCATTGTAATCTCCTATAGTAGGAAAATTTTAGCTGCGCTTCCTTTTGTATGTGTTTGACTTACATAACCTGTATTGGGGGTTGGATTGATGAAGTTCATAATTTCTTCTGGTGATTGTATTAACTAGGCACTGTTTTAGGCTCATTAATGGGCAAATTTCTTGTATTTGAATTAATTCCCTTCTTTTACCTGATGCAGAGCTATTGTATTAGATCATCAAAACCCCTCTATGAAGAATCAAGTAAAGGCTGTCGCTGCTGCTGAGTGTAAGTTCTTTCACATTTATGTGATAATTCTCTCTTTAAGTACCGATCTAATGAGCAGTTCCCCATATTACTTCATGAGATATGCTTGACATGGATGTTTGTTTTTATGTAAACCAAAGATGAAAGTGTAATTGTAATGCATAAAATTTCACCCAGAATACGCCAACAATTTTCCATCCCACTTATCCTCATTACAAAATGTGAAATTATGTATAGAGAACTCTAGAATTTGTGGTCTTTTTTCTTTTTGTATTTTATAGCATGACTTTAAATTGAAAAAGTTTCAGCTTCAAACCTGCAAGAAATAAAATGAAAAAAGGAAGAAAGGCACAGAGAAAAAAAGTCACGATTCTCTCTCTCTCTCTCTCTTCTCCTTTCCCTCTCAGTATGGGTTACATAATAGTAGATTGCTTAAAAATTAATAAGTATCCATTTCCTAAGATGATGTCTCTCTTCTATTTCATCTAAATAATAATAATAATAATAATAATAATAATAATAATAATAATAATAATAATAATAATAATAATAATAATAAGCATTGTCGACCTACCACTAATTTGAGGGTACTAAATTTGAAGTTACAGTAAAATACGACACTAGTTTTTTCATCTAATCTATTGTGCTGATGAAAAATTCTACATGCACATAATCTTTGACCAAGAGGTTGACATAATATGATCTGTAAGTGAAGGTATTTTGATTTTAAAGATAGTGTGGTGTGTAAAACAAACAGGATCCTTGCACTTGCATTATGTCAAGCTCTGTCATCCATTAGTTATAGCATCACTCTAATTTGATTTTGCGAGTAAATAATGACGAAATGTTTTCTCAAAATGAAAGAGAGTGATTAGACGTGGGTGGGAAAAATAATGATTATGATGGATGTGAATGCCATTCTTCTAGAGTTGGTGATTATGAGTTTTCTTTTGGAAATAATAGTGTAACACATTGGCTTCATATTGGACGAAAATTCAAAATAAACCAAATATAAGACAGTATGAATCTCATTTTACAATTTACCAGGATGAAATCAAATTCATAGCAAATTATTTAAGGAAATTACTGGAATCTTTATCTGTATAGAATGCGGACGAGGAATATATAGTATATAGTCTGGTATTTGGGAGTGCGAGAGAAAGAGACAAATGAGTTCATCTGTGAGATGAAAATGATCTGCTCTTCATTATTGTTGTTTGCTGACAAGCAATTTTCACTTAGAGGAAAATTTTAAAAATTTATTTTTGCAGAAAAATCAAAAGCTTACAATATTCAATGTTCATCCTAACATCTATGACACAAATGGATACATAATACAGGAGATGCATTCTGCTCCTTAATAATGCCATCTTGATTATATGTGGAAGAGCTGTATGACTGATTCCTAGCAAATTTACTGATTAAATCCCTTGCCATTCTATTACAGCTTATCCATGGAGAAATTCTAAGAACCGGAAAGAACCTCCTTTCAAAAAGGCGAAACTGGATCTACCTTCAGGTAATTGGGAGGAAATAATTTGATGATCTCATCCACTTGTTTCTTAATTGGTCCGGCTCTTCTATTTGTACTTAATTACTGGTCACTGGTAAGTAAAATTGAATTGTTTTTAATGTAAACCAATTGATAGCAGATGTAATTATGTCTTTGTATTTTTTTTTTCTAATTATTATTATTTTGTGTTTCAGGCGGGCCTCCTAAATCTGCCAACAAATCTACTATGCTGAAAACAACTCTTTCCAAGGGTAAAATCTCATCTGGCTCACCTGTGGCTTCCCAACCAGAACAACATGGTGGGCCAGCGTCCCCAGCTGGAGGTGGCAATCATGTGAATGGACATGTTGGCATTACAGATGCCGCACGCACTCAAAATACGAACATTATTGCCAGCGCAGGGAAAGAAATGCCCAGCAAGTGGCCGCATGGTATTATCCGAGGCAAATCTAAACACAGTAGAAACACGGAGGCCAAACCTACTGATTTGAAAAGTTTGGTGATCTCAATACTTCAAGAGAACCAGCCTAAGGGTATGAGCCTTAAGGTAATCTGGCGAGTTTGAGCTATTTTGCGTGTGTATAACGTTACTTTTCATTATTACTTTTTTGGGTTTCTTTTTTACCTCAATTTCTTTGAAGGAGAATGCATTTTGACTCACTAGTCTTATAATTAGATATTTCTCCTGTGGTTCCTTTTAGGCCTTGGAGAAAGCCATCGGAGAGGTTATGCCCAACTCAGCCCGTCAAATTGACCCTATCTTGAAACAAGTATGTGGTGAATATTTTTAGTGAAGGTTGTTGGCAACTGTGATTGTTTCTTATATTTACCTAACTATTACTGTCAGGTTGCAGTTTTTCAATCTCCTGGGAGATATTTATTGAAGCAAGGGCTAGAGAAGGAAAGCGTGAAGAAACCGCCTTCTCAAAGTGGAAGGTTTGTTTATCTTATCATGGGTTGTCTCTGTCTGTTCAATGATTGTGCTTCTCTCCTTACATGTGTTGTGTGTGTGCGTTTACATTTTCTTTTTGCTTAACCTAAAAGCTTTATATATGTGCTATTAAGTGTACATAGGCAATTAGGCATTTATTTATTGTAGATGGAAAATAGCTGGTTTAACAGAAGGTTCTTTTCCAATGGTCTATTTCCGGTAACACAAGACAATTCAGTGTTGAATTAATTATATTTTAGATGAGATGCTTTGCAGCCCGAGTTGTATCGATGAAAAGTTTGATAAGTAACTCAGATTTTAACCTAGTGCTATTAAATTATATGATATTCAACATTGTGTTAAGTTGAGGTCAGTTGATCATCATAACTAGTTAGACATACGTTAGAATCTTGTTTCAGTCGGATAATATGAGAGTTTCATGGGGGTAGTCTCAAACTGAAAAGTTGAGTGGTTAGAGACATGATGAGCTAAGTTCTGTACGGGGATCTGTTGCATCAATATTCAGTACCAATAATTATTTGGTCAAAGGCCTTGCTTCCCCTCGAGCCTAAAGGATTTTATGTTGGTTTCTATTTTTATTTTTATTTTTTACAAGAATAATCATGCAATATTATGTCATCGACGTAAAGAATTGCATGAAATAAGAGAACCAACATAGTGATTATCTGTCGACAAGGTTTTTGTGTTACGTGTACAAGTACCTATATGGTTGTGGGTTTGTAACATGCAAATTTAAACTACATTTATCTAGTTTGATTCAGAGGGTATTTTGCTAAACCTTATATCTCACGGGTTTCTACATGTTATAAAATACATATAGAGCTGAGATGTTAATTTTTATGTTGAAACGTAGTTAAGAGTAAGAGATTTTTTAGATGTTTGTAACGAGTCTTTTGCAAAAACAAGTTAATATTAAAGGGACATGTTAAAGATAAGATCTTATATTTAGCTTATGCGATTTCCCAATTCACATATCTATAGCTTATAAGCTTTTAGAGTATTGTTCTAGAAGCCTTATATGTTTTTCTTTTCCTCTAAAACGAGCTGTATGGTTTCCAAATAACCTTCAAAACACCAAATCTACCTATTTTGAAGATCTTGATGCTTGGATATAAGAATTGTTTTTATTTTTTTGGAATTATTGGTTTTGTTTGGTTAATTTGAAAAGGTGGTATAGTTGTTAGTGAGATTTTGAGTTTATATGAAAATTAAATAATTGAAGTAGATTTGATGTAAAAGTGGGGGAGATATGGTGTGAAGTGATGATTAGTTAAAATTATGTGAGTGGATGAATAGTGAATTAATATTGATGTGATGTGTAAGAAAAAAGTGATTGGTTAAAAATGATTGTATATATATATATATATA